TTTGGCTGCCTCCCTATGTTTCTTCCTATGTATTAGATAGAGCTGCTACATCTCCAGGTCTTGGTAGAGTGGCTTTATGTAGAAGGTGTCCTGTAGGGCCCAGTGGCTTCTCCATACAAATGGCCTGTCTTGGGTCATGATGCTGATCTGAAGATGGCTGCTACTTTTGCTGGGCTTGGAGGTGCCTGGGAGAGGCCAAGTTGTCAACCAAGGCTGGCTGCTGCTATTTCTGGGCCTGGGGCTACTTAGCAACAGGTATGGGGTAGGCAGAGGCCAGATGCTGCTTGTTGAAAGATCTTAGGAAAGTCAGCATCATGAGCCAAGACAGGCCATTTGTATGGAAAAGCCACTGGAAAGTGTTTGGGTGAGCCTGCAAGTTCGGTGGGGCAGGGTTTCAGGGAATCTCCAGGGTAGGGCAAACAGTGATAGTCAGGTGGATGGATACTCAGATATGGTGCCTGTCTGCCGGCTCTGTGAGGGGAGGGCTCAGCAAAGGAACAGTGGCGTCTGCCAGCTCTTATTTCTGGGAGAAAGCTGCCCCTGCAGCTTTCACCTTGATGCCAAACAACTCAGTTACTCCTCGTATATCCCTAGTGCCCCAGTGCTGGAGCTCAGAGTAAGTCCATCAGTAAGCCCATGCATGGACCCTTTAAGAGGAATATCTGGCACTCCAGCAGCCTCCATCTCACTCAGCCACACCTCTGCCAGTTTTTACAGTCAGAAGTTATGGGGATTTCTCCTCCCAGCACTAGACCCCTGGGCTGGAGGCCTGGTGTGAAGCTGGGAACCCTGGCTCCTCAGGGGGATCGTGGCAACCAAGATACCCTTCTCAGTTTTAATCACCACACGTGGGTGTGGGACCAGCCCATTCTGCATCTCCACCTGTGCTACTAATCTTGATGTAGCATCTGTATATCCTTAGTTATAGGGTTACGTTCAGCTAGATTCAGGCAGTTCTGAATGATGATTGTTCTGTTGTTTAGTTGTAATTTTGATGTTGTGGGAGGTCCTGAGTACCACATTTACCTATGCCACCGTCTTGACCAGATCAGTAGCTATTCCTTTTATACCTTTGTTGGCAGTGGACAGAGGAATTCGTTTTGTTTTTAGTGCTACTGTATAATAACATCTATGTGTGCAGATACTAACATGGCAAAGCAAAATTTGCCTTAATATTTTCCCATGAAATAATCCCTAGTTGGCTGGCCAGTTGTCCAGGTTGTAGACTGTAGCATGGATTGTACCTGGACATATTCACACTATGTAAAGTCATCCTGCAGAGAGTGATGGGGCCCATTGCCTGACGCCATCTTTCACCCCTCCAGCAGGACTCGGTCACCCCCAGCGTCCCACCTGCATGTAGGCCTCCTCCTATCACCTCTCATTTGAACACACTCACAGCTTCCCCTTTGGTCTCCCTGCCTCCAGCCTCTTCTCCCTCAGTCATTCTTGACTCCACTCTGTCCGTGCCATTCTGCACCCTTGCTTCAGAGCCTTGTTGATGGAGCTGAAGCTCACCGGCAGGACTTTGGGGTCCTCATTCTGTGTGCCAGCCCAGCTGGCTGTGGCTTTGGGCTTTCCTGCCTCTGCTTGCTTTGCCCTGCCTGTGCTTTCCTTCCGTTTCCACTGGTCCCTCCCCATCGTTTGCGACAGTTCAGCTTTCCTCCAGCCTTCTTGAAGAACGCTTCCCTAATACACCTCCTTCCAGCTGTCCCGCCTGAGGCAGTCAGAGCCTCTTCCATGCACGTAGGGCCCCACATCTCTCGACCAGCACAGTCAGCAGCACTCTGACTCGTGTCCTCATGTCCCCATCAGACAGCCTGGCCCTGGGGTTTCGCATCTCAGCCTTCCACGGGGCCTTGTCCAGGGGCATCCACCAAGCGTCTGCCACAAAGAGAAGGTTCTGCCTGCTCTCACTTCTCCCGTGAAGACTTGGCCCTTGCTCAGTAATAACATTCCAGCACTCAACTCCCAGGCCCCTCCTATGACACCCTAAAGAAGTGCCTTCAGGCTAAAATTCCCGGAAGGAAATTTACATCCCTGTCCTCTTACTCCTCTGTGGGGATGAGCAACAGCTGTTGACTGTCTTTTGTAAAATCCCTCGGAAATGGCTGTGAAGTCACTCCCCGGACTTCTCTTCTTTAGGACATTTAATCCCAGTTCCCCTTGCCCTCCGTGGTGGATCCTGTGTGCTTACCTCTTTCATCATCACCCTGCCCTTTTCCACATTGTTTCGAAATCCCCCACCTTCCCCTCAGGTTGGGGAAATCTCAGGATGCCATTTCCCCAGAGTGCCCAGCACAGAAAAGCTCAGGTCAGAGTCAGCCTCTGGCTACAAGTTTCCTGAGTATCCCTTGAAGATTGGCTGAGCAGAGCTTATGGCCCCAGGGCTCCAGACACGGTAGTGTCCCTCTCTGACTGGAAAGGAAGCAAATGAATGGGGCGCTTAGAGAGAAGCACCAGTGAAGGAAGGATGGGAGAATCGGGCCCTTGCCTTGAAATCAGGGCGGACAATGTAGAGCCTGCAGAACCTCCACAGCCACTCAAGCCCTGGGGCAGGATCTTGACCCCAATAGACAACCTGCCCTCCCGGGTGCCAGACAGGGTTGGGATGGTCTGCATTCATTCCAAACAAGAGCGGCCTTCATTGAGCATCTTGTCTTCAATGGAAGTTATAAACTGTATCTTACCTTCCAGCCTCTAGTCTTCACTAGAAAACAACTCCAAGTCTCCTTGGATACTTCTTCAAGTGTCCTGGCCCCTTCAGCCACTTTCCTTCTCCTGGCAGAGCATTTATGCCAGTTAATGGCATTTCCAGCACCTCTCCCTGCAGCCAACCAAATAAACCAAGTCTAAAGAAAGAGTCATGATCTTGGTGTAGGGTGCTCTGAGAGCTGCTTCCTTTTATCCAGTCACCCCATGTCCCACCCATGCCGGTGAGGACATAGTCACACACAGGCAGGAGTGCACACACATGCACACACATGAGTGTGCACATACTCGGGTACATGAGTGCATATGTGCATGCACACACATGAGCACATACACAGGCACATGAGTGCACACGTAAGCACACATGAGTATGTACACTCACAGGTACATGAGTGTACACATGCACACAAGCATGCACACACAAACATATTAATGCGCACATGCACGCACTTACAGGAGTGCACACACATAGGTACATGGTGTACACATTCATGGAGTTACATGAGTATGCACACACAAGTGCATGAGCGCACACATGTATGCATGAACATGAGCATGTACACACATGTCCACACTTTTCCTGCTTATAGAGTGGACTTGACCATTCACACTGAGATTGATGCTGTTAATTGACAACAAAGAAGTGGGGGAAGGCCCAGGGATGGTGGCACCTGGCTTTCATACAGAGATGTGTCCAGTAGCCCCACTGAGTCTGGGAATCTGGACCAGCAGCCTCTGGAAGTTGCGATCTTCCCCAGATTCACTTATGCTTTCTCCCCTTCCCTGGCCTGTCGTCCCACAGACGGGCTTCGTCTTGAAAATGAATCCAAAGCACTCTCTCTGCATCGTCTCTTTCCCTCTGTATAGTTGTTCTGTTTAGAAAAAAGCCACAGTTGCCCCTTTCAGCCGCCTCTGCTTTTGCCCTGTCCAGGGAAGACAAAATGGACCAGTGACATGCTTCTCCCTGGGGAAGAAAAGGAAGGGACAGTACCAGGCAGCCCTCTCCTTCCCCAGTCCCCCACCCACCAAGGCCCACTCCTCTCTCCCTCCCTTTCCCACGGTGCCCGCCTGTAGCCCATGAGGTGAGGGGAGCACTGGGTCTTCAGCACCCTAACAAACGCAGGAGGCACCTATCTTTCCACAGCTGCTTTTACAGTTCCAAAAGAAAAGAAGGGAATATTATACATAGAAAACGTAGCATAGAATATATAAAATGTAAAAAGACACATCTTAACAACTTGGGAGCATCTTACTGGGAAAGGTGATTATTGTCTTTAAAAGGAATGCTTTTTATTGCTTCAACAGTGAAATGCGTTTTCATTCATTCAAATAAAAAATAAAAATATCTTGGGGTTACCTGTTAAAAGTTATTTCTTTGGACCAGTCCTTCTGGAGATCCTCTTATGCCAAGACCTGTTTCAATGCTGGGTTTAGGAAGTGAGAAGGCAGGTGTGGACCCTGATCTCAGAGAGCTTTGATCCATTGAGGAGACGGTTAAAGGTCAAGTAATCAAATAAATCGATTTCACAAGTCATGATGGTGCTGTGGCACAGAGGTGGACATGGCACACACAGCCTGGGAGGGGCTTGCGGAGGCCTCTGTCAGCGGAGAAACTGGGCTGAGCAGGACTTACCTCGAAGCAGGGGAGGAATTGCTTTAAACTTCAGGGAGACACACCTCAAGTCCACTGATGCTACATATACTTGATACTTAGTGCATTTAAGGAGAATTCAAATCAGTGGGGCATGAAACCGACAGGGTTTCAGCTGACTCTGGACCAGTCAACATTTCAAGGAAAGCAGGGCGTGGGTCCGTGTGAAGGCAGAGCCGGGGAGGCCCCGACTCTGCACCTGAGCCTTCCTGCTCCCCACAGCGACTGCACTGCTTTGCTTGTCGTAGCTCATTGTCACTGTAAAGTTCGAATTTCACTTGGGTGCACTAAATACTGCAACGCTCAGGTTTCATTTTGTCCCACTCTTAGGAAGTGGTCATGCCTGATGTGTCTTATGAACATGCCGGGTCCTCCCTGAATTGGCTCCCAGCCCAGAGTTCCTCTCAGAGCAGGAAGGCGCTGATCCCGGTTGCCCCGTGTTTGGGCTTCATCCTGGGGACCGGAGGCAAGCTGTCCCGAGTGTGCCCCGCCTTCCGCACCGTAGGCTGGGGCAGCCAGGCTCCCCCAGAGAACAGGGGTAGCCATGCCGTGCTGTGCCCGAATATTTGCAGAGATCCTCTGTTATATTGCTATGTAACTTTTAACCCTTTACTCTGTTGTTTTTCTATTTTTAAAGGCTTGATTTGTCTGTCGAAAGCATCTGCCGAGACTGGCTTGAGAGTCCCGGACTCCCACAGGTGAGCTCGGATCCTGCTTTGGGGGAGGCAG